GCAGCAGTAGCTGCTGCTGCTGCTGTACCTTAAGAAGCAGGAGAGAAGCAAAGAGCGCCGTATAAAGACACGATGGCTTGCTGCTGTTTATGCTGCTATGTCTTAACCTCCTCCCCGTGTCTGCTGCTGCTCCACTGCAGCAGCAGCAGCAGCAGACAGCTCTTATCTACAGCTTGCTGCTGCTGCTGCTGCTGATTAAAAACGCTTTGCTGCAGCAGCAAACCTCTTTCTTACAACAAAGGCCCTCCTTAGTTATTTCTTGACAGCAGCAACCAAGACCCCCAGCCCCCAGGTGTATGCACACTCCTGCTGCTGCTGTGGTAGGCAGCAGCAGCAGCAGCAACAGCAGCAGCAGCTGCAGCAGCAGCAGCAGCAGCAGAAAGGGGTCTGTGTACCCTTGCCTCTCTTGTCTTTGATTTTTTCCTCTTGCTGCCAATCTTTCTTATCTAACCTCCTTCTTATATATTCTTTTTCTTGGTAATAATACCATTTGTGCTGCAGCAGCAGCAGCAGCAGCAACAGCAACGGCAGCAGCAGCAGCAGCAGCAACACCAGCAGCAGCAGCAGCAGCAGCAGCCCCCACCCCCCAGCTACCCTCTGCCTTTCTGCTAATTTTTCTTCATTTATTTCCTCTTTGCTTCCTCCTTCTTCTCCTCCCCTCCACCTGCACAGACACGCAGCAGCAGCAGCAGCAGCAGCAGCAGCAACAGCAGCAACCCTGCGTAATGGGAGCGGGGGCCCCGCGTGCTGCTGCCGCTGCTGCTGCTGCTGCTGCTGCTCAAGGGACAGCAGAAGCAGCGTACTGAGGTACCATGGCATTGCAGCAGCAGCAGCACTTCTTCCGTAGGCCTGTATCTCCAGACCAAGACAGCAGCAGCAGCAGCAGCAGCAGCAGGAGCCGAAGGCTCAGCAGCAGCAGCATCAACAACAATAGTAGTAGTAATAATAGTTATAGCAGCAATGACATCAGCAGCAGCAGCAGCAACACAGCAAAAGCAGCTGCAGCTGCAGCAGCAGCAGCAGCAGCCACGGCGCAGGGGGAGGCCCCCCAAGTCTTCCCCTTCTATAGAGGAGGGTACAGTGGGTGGGGGGCCCTCTCCTGCTGCTGAGGCAGCAGCAGCAGCATCATCATCAGCAACAACAGCATCTCCAATACCTGCAGCACCAACAACGCAGCCTGCAGCAGCAGCAGCAACAGCAACAGCAGCAGCAGCAGCAGCAGCAGCAGCAGGGAGGAGCAGCGACAGTGAGTCTGAATCCGTCCAAGAGAAACCGCAAGAAAGAAAACTTCGCAAAACCCCAGCAAGGGAGAAATCGGCAGCACTGCTGCTGCAGCAGCAGCAACAGCAGCAGCAGCAGCAGCAGCAGCAGCAGAAGGAGCCTCAAGAGAAAGGGGTGGTGCGTTCAAGTGTACAGACACCACAAGGGACTGCAGCAGCAGCAACAGCAGCAGCAGCAGGTCCTAAACCGCCACGCCGCTCTTCCCGTGTACAGCAGCAAGGGGAAGCAGCAGGCAACAACAACAGCAGCAACACCAACAACAACAGCAGCAGCAGCAGCAGCAGCAGCAACAGCAGCAGCAACAACAGCAGCAGCAGCAGTATTAAGCGTATCTGTGGCTCTAGTGACGGCCGGCGCTCTCCTGAGGCCACGACACCTTTAGATGCAGCAGCAGACACAGCAGGAGATACCGCAACTGCAGCAGATTCATCCGATTCAATAACCACAACAACAGCAGCAGCAGCAGCAACAGCAGCAACAGCAGCAACAGCAGCAGCAGCAGCAGATGAATCAGAGGAGGAGACACAAAGCGGCCCTCGTCGTTCTTCTCGTCTATCAGCAATCGTTACCAACAGCAGCAGCAACAGCAGCAGCAGCAGCAGCAGCAGCAACAATGGTGCATCTTCCTCTACTGCTGTATCTGCTGCAAAGAGCAGTAGCAGCAGCAAAGGACCTGCAGCAGCAACAACAACAACAAGCAGCAGCAGCAGCAGCAGCAGCAAGAGGGCTGATGCCCCTAACAGTATTGATAGTGTTGCTGCTGCTGCTCGTCGAAGGAAGCAAGACACAGCAGCAGCAGCAGCAGCAACAGCAGCAGGAGGAGGAGGAGGAGGATCTATAAAGCCTGAATCAGCAGCAACAACAACAGGAGCAACAGGAGCAACAGGAGCAGCAGGAGGAGGAGCAGCAGCAGCAGCAGGAAATATATTTAGGGCAGATTTTGGTGGTGTCCCTTGCTGCTGCTTACGTGCTGTATCTATTGAGGAAGCAGCAGCAATAACAGGGAGAGCAGCAGCAGCACAGCAGCAGTGCAGCAGCAAGTTGCTGCTATGGAAAAAAGCTATAAAAAGGTTAGTTAAACAATACCAGCAGCAGCATCAACAGCAGCAGCAGCAGCAGCAGCAGCAGCAGCAGCAGCAGCAGAGGCGCCATGTTGTATACTGCCCGCATATGAGGGGAGGAGGGCAGCAGCAAGACATCGATGTCTTACGTTGTATTAAACAAGGATTTATTTCTCCTTATTTACAGGTAACTCCTGCTGCTGCTGCTGCTGCTGCTGCTGCTGCTGTTGCTGCTGTTGCTGCTGTTGTTGCTGCTGTTGCTGATGATGGGTGGAGGTGATGCTGCTGTTGCTGCTGCTGCTGCTGCTGCTGTTGCTGCTGCTATTGCTGCGCACTATATATATATATATA